TACTAAAAAAAGGTAACGGTGTTAGTAATGCTCAAGTCCAGTCATCTAAAGCTATTATCCTGTTAATTTTTAATGCACCCCATTTTTAACATGCCTGAATCAAAAGAGTTGCTCATTGCCATGTGTCTGCTGCGCTAAATGAGGGGATTGAGCCTTTAGATTCAGGTGTGTCAGAGAGAGGATGCATCTAAAAGATACAGCATGGTAGCTCTTCAGGAATCGACTTGAACATCCCTGTTCTACATAATTTCTATTAAAAACCCCACAGCATGATGCTGCCTCCCACGTACGTTCTAGTGAAGATGCACAGGAACCAGTCTGGAACCACCAAGGCTCTGCTCTGCCATGAACTGGCATCACTGGAATCTCCTCTTAATAAACTGACTATTTTACTTTTAAATAAACGTTATCCGTCCATGCAGTAAAACAAAACTTCTGTAGAACGATTTATGGCATTTTTTTTTTTTAGTTTTTAACTTTTTTTCTTGACTTACCTTTTCTTCTACTTAATTTCCAGTTGGTTATATATCATTCTAGGGCTCATTTAATTGGTCAAATGCCAAAATAGGATGTACAGCCATGTAGCAGTATCTTTGCAGAATGGCTGGATATAGATCTTGTGCTTCTAGAACTCACTTAGGGACGAAGGGGGCTCCATTTCTAAGTGGTATGTAAGTGATCAAAAACACCAACTTGCCCAATAAAAGGTTAAACGGCTTCAGCTAACTTAAATATAAAGTCCAGCTATCTCTTTACTAGCGTGTTTTGTTAAAAAAAAAAACTTTTGCATCAAATATTTGCATAAAGTGGCTAAAAATATGCTTTTCACATCTTCGTTAAGATCCCACTTCAAAATAGCAAAAAATGCACACAATACCGCAACTTTCTTTTTATTTTTAGATACTTGCTTAGACTAGCTGGCAACTTTGGAGCAATGGATGCAACTTTTCATCACTTTTTTTGTACCATATCAGAGATTAGGCTGTTTTTTGTTGGATATCTAACCTAAATGAAATATTTCATGGGCTGGTTGGAGTGAGTTTGCAGGCTATATAGGGTCCCGGAGCCCCTAGTTGATAACAGCAATCTTATTTGGATCATACATGTACCTGTCCTCCTCTACATGGATCCTGCAGCTTTCTCCCCAGATGGTTCTGTAAACTAACCATCTGGCGCGTCAGGTTACCTCAGACAAGCACAGAGTTATTTCAGGCTTTGTTTCACAGCTCTACCTTTGAACGCCTTCCAAAAGCAAGCAGGTTTCAGCCTTAAAAAAAGAAAAAAATAATAATCTTTTTACTGCCATCCAGATACAAGTTTGAACGAGCGTCTGAGAGCAGAGCGGATCCTCCCAGCTCGCTGGCTAAAAGCTCTGCTGGAATGTGATGGAGGAACCAGGTTGGGTTTCACCAGCAGGTGTCTGTTGTTTTCCTCCCTCGTGTTTCTCACACTGTTTCACCACCTGTTCATCTCCACTCCTTCCATGGATTTCTTGCCCTCTCTCTGAAGGGCTTTGGAACACATTAAAGGGTGAGCTGCAGCTCCGATTTAAACTTTACCACAAGAAAGGAAACTATTTTAATAAATCAGTGATTTAAACATTTGGTGGTATTTTAGAAAAAGAGGATTAAATCCTCCTGAAGACTCATAGTTCCTCATCCTATCGATCTCAGAGCTCTATGGGCCACAGGGGGAGACTCAACAGCCATTAAGACAGAGAAGAGAAACAGATTGGAGCTCGTAGAGCCGTTCAAAAGCCGTTTGTTTCGTCCTTGACTTTGTGTTTTGCACCATCTAGTCTCGCTCTGTTTCAATCGGTTTCAATCGGTTGTTCTTTCTTCTTTAAAGGGACAATTTCTCACTCCTATAACCACTGATATATCTGATCCTGTATGTAGAGATATAATACGGAGCCCCTAAAGGGACATGGAGGGAAAAAATAAACTGTTGCGAGATCCCGCAATACTTTTGCCGGACCTTGCAAAAAACAAACTATTGCGAGATCCTGCAAAAGTATTGCGGGATCCTGCAAAAGTATTGCGGGATCTCGCAAAATATAAACTTTTGCGAGATCCCGCAATACTTTTGTGAGATCCAGCAATACTTTTGCGAGATCTCGCAAAACTATTGCGAGATCCTGCAAAAGTATTGCGGGATCTTGCAAAAGTATTGAGGGATCTCGCAAAACTATTGCAAAATCTCGCAAAAAATTTACTTTTGCGAGATCCCGCAATACTTTTGCGAGATCTCGCAAAAGTATTGCTGGATCTCGCAAAAGTATTGTGAGATCTCGCAAAAAATAAACTTTTGCGAGATCCCGCAATACTTTTGCGAGATCTCGCTAAA